TGCTCTCGAGATGTCATGGAGAAGCCTAGCTGTATCTTGGGGCAGATGTCTTACAAGAGTACTAATCACATGCCCAGTGCTCAGACCAGGTGCCCAGCATGTGAAATCCAAATGCCCATCCCAGTCCACTGAATCCCTACTGAGACTTTCAATTTGGGACAATGGAGAAATGTGTGAGATGTTCAGTAATTATGAATATTACGTACTTCTCTGGGCATGGGCCTCAGCCAGATCCCTGCAAGATGGGACAGTCTATGGCAGCTTAGCCCCGTACAAGCCTGTGGAACCTGGGTAATGCCTTGGGTGGCTAGCCACAGCTGCACTGCGCAGGCTAGATCAGGTCTGGCTACTTGAACAGACGTGCTTTGGCGCAGCACCCTAAGAGCTTTGTGCAGAATGCAGAACAGTCAGCCCAGACCTCATGCCTAGTATAGACAGTCCCCTGAGAGACTCCCCGGGTTTCACATAGGCATATGCTAAACATTCTGCTGCCTCACCCAGCCTGCACCACAGGAGCTGTAGGTGGAAGGTCTGGATTTCTGCTAAAGGGCTGGGTTTGATTTTAGCCCTTTCCCCCATAGATACTGCTAATTGTTCAGCCCTGGAAAAGATGACTGGGAGGTGGGGGACAAACTGAAGCCTTCTGATAGTGTGTGCAAGTTCACCCAGCACCACAGCAACTGAGGCAGGGCTGGAACCCTGGAGGCCTGCTCTTGAGTCTAGCTGACAGACCACACTGCCTCACTGAACAGAACCCCTGCCACGCCCGTGCATGCATAACCTGGAGGCACACGGATTCCTGTGCTCTGCAAGGCACATGGCTGCCCCAGCACGCTACTCCGCAGAGTTTCTGGAAGCGGGAGCTGGTGCACCTGATGTCCAAGGCACACACTAGCTCTTTCCTTTCAGGGCGGATTGAATTCTCAATGGCTTGCAATTGCTGCGTGGGAGCCCGAAACACTAGTCCTTCCTCAAGCCAACTTGTGCTGTTCTGCTTGGCTGTGGGCCAGGCCCCTTTGTTTGCAATGTTTGTTTCCTTGCCTGGGCGACTGCCTGAGCCAATCCTCATGGACTTTTGCTGCAGGAAAGCAGCACAAAAGCACCAGGTAGTTGTTTGGATCAAGGCACAGAAATGGTGGTGGTTTGTTGCTGACGACTGTTGGCATTAGGGTTGCCAGCTGTCTGGTATTCTATGGGACAGTCCAGTTTTTAGGGCCTCTGTCTGGTAAAGAAAATTTAGAAAATATTGGACAGGTGCAATGTCCGGTATTTTCTGGTTCTCTGGCAGGGCGCTGGACGGAAGCCTGGCGGGGGCAGAGGGAGTGTCTGGGAGGCGGGGCGTGATAAGCGCTGGGAGCCTCTGGTAGCATCTGAGGAGGAGGGGAAGCCCTGGCCCTGCTCCTGAGCGCTGGTGAAGCGCGTGGTGGAGACACAGCCGGACTCGCCTCGCCGGGACCGTGCGCGGGACGGGTAGACCCTGGAATCTGCACGTACCCAGGTCAGTCCCACTCCCCGCCAGCCAATTCGCTCCCCCACCCCAGCCAGCCCCGGTCTGTCCGACCTCCCTCCCCCGACCAGCTCTACTTCCTGCCAGCCGCCCCTCCCCTGATCTCCCCCCGCCCAGCC